TGAGCTGTCTTTATTATAGGAGGTGGGCGGAGACAAGACCAGTCACCCTGAAGAGAGAAAGCAGCAGTGAGCGGTCTTTATTACAGGAGGGGGCTTAGACAAGACCAGTCACCCTGCACAAGGAGAGAGAGCAGCAGTGAGCAGTCTTTATTACAGGAGGGGGCTTAGACAAGACTAGTCACCCTGCACAAGGAGAGAGAGCAGCAGTGAGCAGTCTTTATTACATGAGGGGGCGGAGACAATACCAGTCACCCTAAAGTGAGAAAGGAGCAGTGAGTGGTCTTTATTACAGGAGGGAGGCGGAGACAAGACCAGTCTTCCTGCACAAGGAGAGAACAGCAGTGAAAGGGTGTTTATTACAGGAGGGGGTGAAGACAAGACCAGTCACCCTGCAGAAAGAGAGAAAACAGCAGTAACCGGTTTTTAATACAGGAGGGGGTGGGGACAAGACCAGTCACCCTGCACAAGGAGAGAGAGCAGCAGTAACCGGTCTTTATTACAGGAGGGGGCAGAAAGAAGACCAGTCACTCGGCACACGGAGAGAGAGCAGCAGTGAGCAGTCTTTATTACAGGAGTGGGTGGAGACAAGACCAATCATCCTGCACAAGGAGAGAGAGAGCAGAAGTAGACATGTGCACTGGCAAGAAATTTGTTTAGTTTTATTTCGTTTTGATTCGGATTTTGTGTAATGTTATTTTTCGGAATTCGGGTGTGAAAGTCAATTCGGATTCGGAATTCGGATTCGGCCGAAATCCGTTAGCGTCAGTTCGTTCGAACGGTCGTTTCATTTTAGTTTCTTCCTCGTTTCGTTCGTTCGTTGCAGCAAAGTGACATTTGAGGGGGGGGGGGAAAAAACGTTTTCCTCCTTCTCTAATAGACGAAACGAGGAAGAAACGAAAACGAAACGAACATTCGAACGAACTACCGCTAACGAATTTTGGAAACAGAAATTCAGATTCGTTTGCATTGGTTATATCTGTACACCCGAATGTCCGAAAATTATCTAAGCAGCAGTAACTGGTCTTTATTACAGGAGGGGGCAGAGATAAGACCAGTCACTCTGCACAAGGAGAGAGAGCAGCAGTAACCGGTCTTTATTACAGGAGGGGGCAGAGACAAGACCAGTCACTCTGCACAAGGAGAGCGAGCAGCAGTAACTGGTCTTTATTACAGGATGGGGCAGAGATAAGACCAGTCACTCTGCACAAGGAGAGCGAGCAGCAGTAACCGGTCTTTATTACAGGAGGGGGCAGAGACAAGACCAGTCACTCTGCACAAGGAGAGCGAGCAGCAGTAACCGGTCTTTATTACAGGAGGGGGCAGAGACAAGACCAGTCACTCTGCACAAGGAGAGCGAGCAGCAGTAACCGGTCTTTATTACAGGAGGGGGCAGAGACAAGACCAGTCACTCTGCACAAGGAGAGCGAGCAGCAGTAACCGGTCTTTATTACAGGAGGGGGCAGAGACAAGACCAGTCACTCTGCACAAGGAGAGCGAGCAGCAGTAACCGGTCTTTATTACAGGAGGGGGCAGAGACAAGACCAGTCACTCTGCACAAGGAGAGAGAGCAGCAGTAACCGGTCTTTATTACAGGAGGGGGCAGAGACAAGACCAGTCACTCTGCACAAGGAGAGAGAGCAGCAGTAACCGGTCTTTATTACAGGAGGGGCAGAGACAAGACCAGTCACTCGGCACAAGGAGAGAGAGCAGCAGTAACCGGTCTTTATTACAGGAGGGGGCAGAGACAAGACCAGTCACTCTGCACAAGGAGAGAGAGCAGCAGTAACCAGTCTTTATTTCCGGTAGCTCCAAGTCTTAAGGTCCCCACACACCTTGCGATAATCGTACGATTATCGCAAGGTGTGTGGAAGGCGTGCGACCGTTTCTACTGTACGGTCGAACGACCTTTATCTTAGGAACATGTTCGAAAACCCGCCGAGAATCGTACGATTGTCGGCGGGTGTGTGGCATGTTCTTAAGATAAATGCCGCACGGGCCGGTGTGCGCAGAGTTTACCTTTAAAACACATAAACCAGAAAGATTCACCTGCAGTGAATGTTTGGTAATTGTCAGATTCACAGCTCTATCCATCTGCCCCATCTACCGGTCCTTCCGGCATGGGGACACAGCGCCTGCTCATTGCAGATGTGCTGAATGAGGGTCATCTTTGAGCAATACCTTTTGCACAATGCGCTTTATCCCACCGCGGTGGTTTCCGTGAATACTATTCTATAACTATTTTTGTCTTAACCTCTTTTTTTTTTCTTCTTTCCACTCTTGCTCGGTCTCACGCTCTACCCCAAGGCTTCCCGACGAGAAGGTCAATAAATAAAATAAAAGCATTAATCTCTTGTAGGCAGATCAAGCTGTACCAGGGGGACCGCCAGCCCGCGGGGCAGCACGAACGCCGGTTTTATTAGCGTACATTATTTTATTGCGCTGATGATTATGAAGAGCTCGGGGCCCATTTATGAAGAGCAGACAAATACCTTAAATATGTAACAATGGTAAGCATATGGCCGTGATGAATAGAGGGGATTACAGAAGAAATGCATCACGCCTGGAATACTGCAAATACGTTTCCTGACACCAGATACATTACAGGGGAAATATTCATCATGGTGTAACTCAAATTGGATTACCGTAGGAAACATTCGTTTCTGCCGGGGTAGTTTTTCATATCTGTCCATTGATTATAATTTAGTAGAACATTTTCCTTTGTTTTTTTGTTTTTTTTCATTCCCTTTTGCTGTGGCAGGACAGATATATTCTTCATAAATACTTCATTCTGAGATATATCACTTCAGCACAGACTCATTTGCATTGTTTAGTGGCTGCTGTTTTGTTCTCAGTTCCAAAAAAAATCTTTGACAAATGAGACAAAACTGAGACAGAGCTTTCTTTAAAATAACATTATATCTAAACATGGGGGATTTTCCATTAGGGACACAGTCTGCCTGACGTTGCTTTAAGGGGTGCATTTATAAAAGATTTGCCGAGTCGTTTGTCCCGCAAAACTGCATGGACATTCGTTCTGTGCGAATCAGGGCGAAAAGGAATGTTATTAGTATATTTTTTTCCAGGTTGAAATTAATAGCAGGAAAAAACCTCATTATGGCCACTAGATGGAGCTGAGGAGCACATGTAATAAATACTTATTATGGCCATTAGATGGCGCTAAGGAGCATAGGAAAGTATTTTTTACTGATGATCTTCTGCTCCATCTAGTTGCCATAATGCGTTATTTTCCTGATTTACTCTAATATACCCTAAAAACAGACTCAAGCATTTTATGGCCTGCGGGCTAGTGTCGGCCCTTTGTCTCTGTTTGGTCTGCGGTCACTGACCTGCACTCATTTATGGCTGGTTGACAGTGGATGCTCGGGCCTCCAAGGCCATCCACTGCAATCCATAGCCAAATACCGGTCGGAGAGTGTTCTGTATCTGCATCACGTTGCTCTTCAGTCATTGGTTGCTAGGACCACTGGCATTCTAGCAACCAATAAAATCAGGGGTCCTGCCCCCCATGCAGTCATTGGTTGCTAGGACCACTAGGCAGTCCTAGCAACCAATGATGTCAGAGGTCCTTATCCTCTGCAGTCATTGGTTGTTAGGACCACTGGTCCTAACAACCAGTGACAAATGTCTTCCCGCCCCCAGCTCCTCTTCCGTCCTCCTGCAGCTTCATAGTATGCAGGGACTATAAGGCTTTATTCAGGGCCCATTCACACCTATGCTGTGCGATTAATGCATGGTACTGTGCAATGCACCTACCTACCATGCATTACAGTGTGGCAGGTGTGTTGTGTTGTATGCACTACTTTTTACAACTGCACCGCAATGCACAGTACTGTGGTACCGCGCATTACGGTGCGTTCAACTGCATTGTGCTCCCTCCAGCGGTGGCTACAAAAAAAGCATCTATGGTCACCTGACCTCTGGAGCTGTCCCTCTCAGACTTACCCATAGTGCTGTTTGTCTTCTGTGTTCAGTGACATCCAGTGTCATTAAACCACTTTCTGTGAGCCAAGAGTGTCATGGCTCTGCCCCCTGCCCTGAACTCACAGGAGAAGACTGCAGAGAGCAGTGCATTGTTATTATGTGATGCCGCTCTGTGCACCATGTAGGATCTGCCCCTTGTCAGTTGAAGAAGAGGACTCATGGCGTCATTGGACCTGGGAGGGGGGAAGAATACAAGACCAGAATTAGGCTATAAAGTTTTTCTCCAGGCAAAAATAAAAATAAACCTTCTATTTTGCAAGGGTCTGATGTGTACATGAATGGTGGGCTCCTTTAAATGTGTCCATGTCAATAAATGCGCAAAAATAGAACGTCCCATTTATTTTCAATGCACACCAACACATCGCTGACATGGCACATAAGGCAATTGGCTTTCTTCTTACATTGCCCAGCAGTGAGTGAATGGGTCCCACTAGTTGTCTTTACCCCGAGTATTGCGCTTACGCCTGCGATTGCCATAATTCAATATGACCGCCTACAGCAAAGGCATTGCCCTACAGAATCCTATCAGAACCTGGCAGAATTTGAACACTCCTGGCCCTGGACTGGTGAATATACAAGCTCGTCTGTATCTCAGGTCTTTATGGTGGCGCTAAACAATCAATTTTGAAATGATCAGTTAAATACCTTTCCATTGAGATTGATGGACCAAATTGTAACTTTCGATCGATGTGCCACACAAACATAGAGGTGGGTTTCAATCAATTAGCCACAAAAACATCACTGGGGGGGATTCATAAATACGGGAGCAGGTAGAATCTGGAGTAGTCGCCCATGGCAACCAATCAGCTTCTCTGTTTCATTTATAAAGCTTAACTGAACAAACTAAAGAATTCTTGCGCTGGCAGTGGCAGACACACACTTGAGTCAGGCCACGTCATGCACTTTCCTATCTGCCAGGTTCTGGCCAGTCAGCAGTAACGCGGAGCAGGGGCAGGGTAGGAAGTTTGTGCCTAGCAGGCCGCCGTACATGTCAGCGCGCATGCCAGGAGTAAACATGGCGGCGCCTAGTGATCTGGCAGACAGCGGGAGTACCGAAGAGAATATCCTATACGATCTTCTGATAAACACCGAGTGGCCGCCGGAGCCCGATGTCCAGGTCAGGGGCAGTACGGGGTGGGGTGGCAGGGGCAGAATTGGGGGGGTTTATTTGGTCAGATGCCCTGGTTGTCTGTCCATATCCCTGTATAGGTGAATGGCACAGGACACGCAGCAGTTTGGTGTCAATTGCTGAATCTACGTTATAATCATGATAATCACAGACACCCATCAGGCTGCCCTGAAAATGCTAATTGCCTGGCTTTTTCTGGCTTCAGTAGTTCCTGAGCCCTGAACAAGCATGCTCCCAGTGAAGTCTGCTCTGTATACTTGTTCCGGGTGAGCAGCTCCATGCATTATAAAGGATTTTTTAAATATTAGGACAGCCTAACACAGGGGAGAACAAACTCTGGCCCTTCAGTGGTTGTGGAACTACAAGTCCCATGAGGCATTGCAAGATTCTCACAGCCACAGGCATGCCTCCCGGAGACAAATGCATCATGGGATTTGTAGTTTCAACACAGCTGGAGGACCACCCCTGACCTAATATGTGCAATCTTCACTTGTCCTTTCCAGCGCTGTACCCAAATTTCTCCGCCATCCAGCGCCGGGGTTCCTCTTTTGGCAGAATTACACTCTGTCTACTTCCTATGAGCCCAACCTGTCGTTGACTCCTCTCCTAGTGGGTGTGGTATCATGCATGCTGGGCCCATAGTATTTGCGCCACCCAGCCCTGGAAGAATGGCCGCCGTCAGTAAAAGAGCTCAGGATGACATCACCAGACCAGCCGGAAGACCTAAAGGAGACGGGTATGTACAGGAGCTTGTGGGGAGAGAGGGAAATCTCTCCCCCCAACTTGCCTGTTGTATATAAACGTACGGACGGGCAGCGTGCTCATGCCATTGGTTTCTGTAAGCAGCATTTTTTATTACCCCCCTGCTCCTGCACGCCCCCCTAGCTGTAAACATTTGAAACAGTAACCGAAAGCTGTGATATACAAGCGTTTGGGCAGCTATAGAGCCACCTGATCACTTGCATGCTGCGTGGCTGTATGCGGGGCGCCCCCTTCCGCAGCCGGCTATCCTGGGCTCCGCTGTCCCCCGTCCAGATCCGGTACCAGCATTGCGGGTTTGTTTACCTCTATGGGAGGGAGATCAGCACACTTCCAGCTGCTGATTTCCCCCCTGATCACTGAAAGTATAAGTTAGGGATGCACCGATACCACTTTTTTAAGACCGAGTACGAGTACCGGTACTTTTTATCAAGTACTCGCAGATACCAATTACCGATACTTTTTCTTAAAGGGACAGGTCACTTTTTTTCTAAAGCAATACAAACTAATGCTTTAAGGTCACTTTCTTAATATTATGATTCATGAGATGACGAGGGAGCATGACGCCGGCTTCCCGGCCAATCAGAATGCCGGGTGCTGCCTCATTACACGGCGCCTGGCTTCCGGATTTGCTAGCTTCCTGACCAATCGGGAAGCTGGGCAGCGCGTCATTGCACGCTACCCGGCTTCCTGATTGGCCGGGAAGTCGACTCCATGCTCTCTCATCACAAGTGACGAGAGAGCATGGAGCCATTTCCTGGCCAATCAGGAAACCGGGCAGTGTGTAATGATTCGCTGCCCGGGTTCCTTATACAGGAAGTACTCGTGCTAGGTATCGGAGCATTTGGGCGAGTACCTGTACTCACCCAAATACTCGGTATCGGCACCGATACTAGTATCGGTATCGGTGCATCCCTAGTATAAGTGATGTGTATTGCATGTATTGTATATGCAAAAAAGTAAAAACAATTAAAGTCACATAAAAAAAAAAGGAGAGAAACAGAAAATGTTCCCCCCCTGCCCCATGTACATGCATGTATGACTGCAAACATGTCTCAAGCATGCCAACATGCGAAAACGATGACGCACATGTTACATATCACCTCAAATGTCGGAGTGCGAGCTATAATTCTAATTCTTCTTAACACTAAACTGATGAGCAGTAAAAGCTTTGGTGACCTGTTCACACGACGTCCGTTTTCTGTGCTGACCTGATCCGTACACTCCTGCACTAAAAATGCATCCCAATGTATCCCTATGTGTTTTATGGGCTACATTCTCACGTGCGCAGTCTGTTCAGGTTACGACAGACAAAAAACTGCATGTCACATTTTGTCCGTTCCGGAAACGCAGAGCGCGTTTACTGGAACGCATCAAAAACACGGCAAAAACACATAGCACCGCGCCTGCAGATCCGCACCTGAAAATCATGTGAACAGGCCCTAAAAGTGTCGCCTATGGCCAGTTTTGGTATTTTTTTGCGATTTCGCAAGTGCGCGCAATTTTAAGGCTTGACATGTTTGGTGTCTATTTACCCGACTTGACCCCGTCTTTTATATCTTCCAAATTGGGGTGATAAATGTTTCCTAACATAATTTAGGGGAAACAGGTTTTTTCCCCAAAAAATTTTCAGTACTTTCTTGTTATATAGTAAAAAATAACCCCCCCCCCCCAAAAAAAAAAAAAAATACCCCCCCCCCCCAGTGGTGATTAAATACGACCAAAATAAATCTCTATGTGTCCCCAAAAAATGGTATTAAATTGAATTTCAGTACAGCGTTGCATGATGGAATAAATGTCAGCCAAAGTACTGCAGCGCTGAATACTGAAAAATGGCCTCCACAGGAAGGGGGTGTAACACCGCGGTCAGCAAGTGGTTACAGAGGAACCCCAACCAAAATCTTTTTGTTTTTTTTATTTTTGGATGGCATGTGGAAGGTTTGGAACTAAGGGGCCAAGTTATCAAAAAAAAAAAAAAAGGTCACATAGAGTATTCGTCCAGTGAATCTGCATGAACATTCATTTTGTGTGAATTAACCAGCTGGTGTGAGAATGGGGCAGAATCGAATGTTCTAAAGCTGGCCGTACACCTATCGATTATCATAAAATTTTTTCATGTAGTTGTTCTATCAAAGTTGGTGACTGCGTTGGAATGTGTGACCCGGTCACACATTGCAACATAATCCCGCCCACTTTGTCAGCGGTGGAATGTGTGACCGCCCATTATGTCAAGCATTCTAACGCTTTGTCAGCTGTTCCATGGCAGATTGGCTCACTGAGCATGTGCTGGAGAATCGATCTGCATTACCGCATCTGCCCTGGAACAGCTGATCGGTCCTCAAATGTCACTTCTATCCGACTTTGTGAGTGTGGTGGAATGTGCCATCTCACATTCCCCAGTTATGAGAGGGCGACATTACGTTGGAACGTGTGACCGCGCCACAGGTCACACATTCCAACATAATCACAACATTCGATAGAACACCGTCCTCTAACCCTCGTTTGATTTCCGCTCGAATACCCCATCAAGCACAGAAGGGATTTCCGTTTGCGCATGTGCAGTGTTTATGTTGTGTTTTTTTCCGGACGAAAACGCCACTAATCCATCAATTTTCGTTCGAGAAATTTTTTTCCAGCCTGACCGATCGAGGAAATTCAGCCAGAAATGCAGTAAAAAAAATAGTTGGGTTCCCTTCAACTGATTATCGTTCCAAAGACCTTTCGAAGGCCATTTCCGAATGCAATTCAATAGATGTATGGGCACCTTTGGTGTGTTTTATTTTTCTGGTCGAATGTTCTGGGCAGTAATGAATTGGGACAATACCTCATTATGACCACTAGGTGGAGCTGATGATCCCTATACTGTCAATGTACATATACTTAGGAAGATATCCCAGTCCAGGACTTGCAGTTCTGTAGGAGCTTCAGGTAGACAGGGCAACTCCTGTGACAGGTGAGAGAGAAGAGCACAGCACAGCGCAGCACAGCTCTCCCCTCTCATTGTATACTGTCTACACGGAGCGGCAGGGTTACTTATAACCCGGCCGCTCTGCTCACTGCAGTCATAGACTCGGGACTCGGCGGCGGAGGACGGAACCAGAGGAGAGAGGTAAGTGCAGGGGGGAGGGGGAGAAGGCTGCACACTGTTTATATGTGAAATCGGCGACATCGTCGATTTCACATGTAAACGAAAAATCGTCTGCCTCACTCTACATTCAGTCCTCCTTGTACAAAGCAGGACTGAATGTAGAGAGGGCAACTTCCCCACAAGGACACCGCTGCCGCCCC